GCAAACAGTGGCGTTCAGGTTTGGAATGGTAATAATTCAGTTTATGGGACCGTTTCTTGTTGTATTCCAAGATGTTCCAGTCGTAGGGGTGTCCCCAAAGAAGAACCTACCATTTCCCTAGCATTTCCCTAGCATTTGGACAGTGGTTTACTTCATGATTCATCTTTTTGGTGATCACTTTAGTGTCAAGATGTTTGTTTGCAAACCAACTCATCACATACCCCAAGTGACAGCGCTCTCTTTCGGGAGCTGGGACCATGCGGGATGAATGCCTGGATCAACCACCTGCATGGGTAGTCAATTGGTAGGGTACCAGAAGACCAATGTCTACCCAGCTCGTTTTGGGAATGGTTTGCGAACTGGAAAATCAATGAAACTCAGTTTTTTTTACACATGTTTTGCCGATATTTTCTATGTTTTTAGAAACCCACTTTGCAACGTGTTTCGAGGGTCCCAGGCCCCCAGTCTTTCCCGACGCCTCGGGCTGAGGCAAAATGTCATGGTTGTACTGCCCATGCTACTGCTGTCCTCGGCTCAGAGCCTGATCCAATGACCTGTGGGGAATGACCAACCATTTTTACAATGACCCCCTAAAAGAATCTAAAAGATAGAACTCTTTTCAGTGGGATTTTACTTTTCAATTTTTCTGGGGGTTGATGGTCGAGCATGCTACGAATTTTGGATTTAAATTCCATCAAATCACATTTTTTTCTGGTAAACAATCACCATTTGTGCTGGCTTTTCGATCAAAAACCATAGTTCTTCACCATCCACTTGCGGTTGGATGAGGATCCTCCAAGTCGGTTGCCGGTCCAAAACCCGATTCTTTCGCAACAATGAGGATACTGTGGATGGTTCAGAAATCCTGCACCAGTTGAAAACGGTGGTTTTTACCACTATTTATAGGGTTTCAACCATCCTTTTGGTGGTGCAGGATTTCTTCCATCCACCGTAGTGACTAATACATACTAATACAAGATTACTAGACATGACTCTCCTCATTCATTTCATGCACTTTCTTTGTTGGAAGCGCTACCTTTTTCAGTCCATGCGTTGCTTCCCTGACCCGGTCGGGTTCTGCCAGGGATGATTCTTAGACAGAAGCGGAAAACCCGAGGTGCGGTTGGGCTTCATATGAAGACTATGGCATCTCTTGCCCCTGGGCTTTTCGGAGTTTCATGATTTGGTCGCCCTGAAAGTATCTGAAAGTCACAGAGCTCAGCCGTTTACGTCACACAAAAAAAAACCTGGGGTGAACTTGAATCATAATTTAGTTTCGACTCGGTTGAGGGCTGCAAACCGCGGTAAAGCTGAATCATAATTGAGTCATGAGTCACTTGGATTGTCTGGGTAATCGGACATGGCCATGGGAAACCCCCTTTCTCTCATGAAAGGACCGTTTCGAAACAGAAAGGGCGGGTTTTCTGTAGCCACGTCATTTGAGGGGGCTATCAAGTGTTGGCACATGGACAGATGCACTTTGCACAGACATAGACCTAAAGCGTGCTATGTTCATGTTAGTAGAACAATGATAAACCACCAATATTTTAATAGTTTGTACCCCGCATTTATGGTAAAAATTGGGATGGTTTACTATTGCTTAACTAACATTATATACATTCTGCATGTGATAATGCTCAGTATCTCTACAGGTGTATTATTTGCTTACCTAATGTGGTGAAGGCAGAGGAAGACAGCACACTTCACAGAAATGTATCTATTTAGACATATTTAGACCTTTATCCAAGCCAATGCCTAGTACATGTTCCAGATTGTAACTTGCAGCCCATGTCAACCATAGGATAAGCCCAAGGAGACTCACAAACCGGGGTTGTTGGCTACAAGCGATGAACATCCAAGAATGCACACTCACTTGAACAATTTTGAGCATATTTTCAGACAAGGCGAAGCATGAGAAACACCTATGGCGAAGCATGAGAAACACATAGCAACTCGCGAATAGATTTTGTTCCAGATCGAAACCTGGACGAAATATGAAGATTATGAGGCTTAGATATCATCTGCAATGGCTTTGCCAATATCCTGGAAATGCAGTTCTATCATGTTCTATCCAATTATGGGGCAATTATAGGCGAATACTCTCAAATTCTATGAACATTGAAATAGACAGATCAATAGACAGACATAATGATATAATATTCAAAATTTATATAGCCAATATATAGGTCAATACATGTCAATACCATCCAATACTATCTGTTTGGCCATTTCTATAGACCTCCGGCATCTGTGAGGCTCCATTCCGACCATGACCTTCTGGGTGAAGGTTTGGTGCTGGTTTCCTGCACAGCAACGGTTGAAATGGATGATTTCAACAGGGAATTCAGTCACTTTATAGCCTGTTGAAATGAATCATTAATTCATGGGCATCATGAATGGGCTCAATATGGCCCAATAAGTATTCATACCTTTTGTTTAGAGAATATGGCCGAATAAGTGCTCTTTGAGCCATTGTTTATAGATCAAAAAAGCATCATGCAGGACTTGAATGGGCTTCATGAGGGGATTACCATCCACTGGGCCGATGACAGCGCTGCACTTAAATGCTGACGTAAGGGACATGTCGAGCGAGCTGTTTGCTCTTAGTTCCATATGACAACTCAGTTGACATGAAGGGCATGAATTGCTATCATATTAATCAATATATTTCTAGTTTACCCAGTATTGTTTCTCACGAAGGTGTATGTTCCATCATCTTCTGGGATTTATATATCATCCTGGTCAGACTTAATTATATGTATGTATGTATATATGTATATATATATATTTGCACATGAGCAAATTGTGTAAGACACGAAATCCAGACTTGAAAGCTTGAGAGCTTCAAGTCCAATTCAAAGGTTTAAATCCAAACTTGTGTCACTTCACGTGCGCTGTATGTTAAAATCCCTGCTTGATGGAACAATAGCTATTTGATTTGATTTTAGTGTTTTTTGGGTTTAGATAGTTACCCACCATACAACACACTAAAAGTTAAGCTATGTTAACCAGTCTAGCAGGGGTTCTCTTGCCAAACCATCAAGGTAAGTGTCTGTTCACATTTTCCACCATGTCCAGGCACAGTTTGCCTTCGCCATTTTCCTGGGTGTTTGCAACGGTGTGAAGACCCTGATCGCCGCGGCAGGAAATGGGACATGGTGAATTTAAATTAAATTTAGGTCCTAAAAATGCACTGGTTTTCTCTATGATTTTCCATGTTTTTCCCTGGTTTTCTCTATGATTTTCCATGTTTTTCCCTGGTTTTCTCTATGATTTTCCCATGGTGTTCTTTTTGATTCCTGGAAATCGACAGACCTGGGCAATCCCATCCTACATGTCGGCTTCACCAATTTTGTAGCTTAAATCTTGGGGCGCGGATGGGTGATGCGCCGATGATGCAAAGGGTGGACTGTTTTCAGGGTGGGGATGCCTCGTTTTTTCTATCCAGGCCTGGGTCAGATTCCAATTCTTGGGCAACTCTGGGCAAGGATTCCAAATCACATCATATACCCTCTGGTAAACTAACATAGCTATGGAAAATCACCATTTTCAATGGGTAAATTACCGGGTAAATCGGTAAATCCACTATAAATGATCATTTTCAATAGCTATGTTAGTCATTACCAGAGGGTAGCAGTTTCGTTTCCCTTTTGGATCATCCCACATGACTAGATCAGAGAATCAGCTTGGTGATCTTAGCATATCGCAGCTGATCGGATTCATCACTGAAGGGGGATATCCCCTTGGTTATCCCAGTGGTAAACTAACAAACATAGCTATTGAACATGGCCATTTATAGTGAGTTTTCCCATGAAAAATGGTGATTTTCCATAGTTTTTTGTATGTTTACCAGAGGGTATCCCAGTGGAATGACTGTTCTTCAACTCTGCCTGGGACAAAGGGCTCCTTAGTGAGATATCCATACCCCTCCAAGAATCGTAAGAAACTACAAAAAGTGCTGTTGATTTTCACATATGCGCACTTCATCGCACTTCAAATTCTCAAAAACCACCTATATTGGCATATTGGTATTGGATGTGTAAGGTTCAACAGCCAGACTTCCAAGATCTTACAGCACTGAGGCATGGTCGCACGCAAGATCAGTGCTGGAAAGCAGGCGTTGGACGTGTGGCACTTAGCAGGGACGGGCAGGGCGAAATCGCTACTTGACCCCCCCAGATTTTGGATGACGTTGTTTCAACCGGAACCCTCTTGATTTAAGCCTACAAACAGATAAAACATGATAAAACAATGTCCTGTAGATTTCGTTGATGATAGCTATGGCCAAAGAAGTGGGAAATGATGGCATGACACAACTTGCCGACAACAACCTGCAATGCCCAAATTGACCACTGGTATCACTGGTTCTTGATGATGAAAACTGGGGCTAAATCGGGCTCCAATGGTTCCGATCGGGATGAAAAACGACGTGTACGCCAATTTACAATTACGGTGGATGCTAAAAAAACCGCAATTGACATGGGAACATTCACCACTTTCGCATACTTTGACTTGATTGGACGCATCACTTTGGAAAAGTGCCAGCAGCGGATATGAGCTATGGTCAATACTCATGGTTAATAACCATTAATAGGGGCTAGTCGTGCTAGTCATCCAATGGTTCATAGGGATTTATAATAACCATTATAAGGATCCTTATTATGGATGGGATGACCATCAACCATATAGTGAGTATTGACCATGGCTCATATGAACCTACAAACATGTGGCAGCATGCTACAGTGATAGCCAAACATGGCTAAAAGATGGGGAGTTTGCACAGTTCCATTGGGATGATTATCATCAACTGGAACCCAGAAACCCTTAGACTCTTAGACCCTTAGACTTAAGGGTAGGACGTGGTAAAACCACGGTTAAAAAAAACCATGGTTTCCCTGAAAATACATCCATAAAATTCCATAAATCAATCTGACCTTGGTTTCAACACCCTCAAACTTCCCAACAGAATCTATCGAAGTGATTTCCGACGATTCACCGCAGCATTTTCTCAGCTTCTGAAAGCTTCCCGGTCGCCGGTAGAGGTGCGACTCGGGATCCATCGACCGACTGTTTTTTTTTTTGTCCTGACTGGATGGGTAGTACTTTAATATACTTTAATGTGCTTGATTGATCTTGATTGTACTTTCTGTGCTTGATTTTTCTGCGAATGAAAGTGGGGCAATATTCACGTAACCAGGTATATATATATATATGCATATTTAAATTTTGGGAAGGGTATCCAAGATGGGCCATGTTGTGGCGCTTGAAAATAGTGGTTATCCCCTCCAAAACATGGCAAAATCTCAATTGCAGATGGGCTTTACAACAGGTGGCCGTAAAGACCTGGCCATTAGCTGCATCTGCAGCTCCAAAATATGGCCACTGCCAAGCATTTTTCAACTATTTGTTCCATGGAAGTGGTTCTTATCGGAATTTTCGACATGAAATTCGTGAAACATCGCCATGAATATTGCAGGCTTAAAAGTTGTAAGATTGCCCACGGCCAGTTCAGCTCTGGTCTTTTCATTCTGGGCAAACCACATGACCTGAAATGACGTCTTGTGAGAGGAATCGTCCCTTCCCAAAATGCCAAATTTTAATTCATCCAGTTTCCAGTTTTCAGTTCAAGTATTGTTTGAATTTGCCAAGCATCTGTGCCAGGCCCTTCTTTTTCCAGTGTCACATTGAGATCTCGGCAACTTAGCGCCGCGAAGCTTGGTGAAAGCTGTGCAGCCACCCCTTGTTTAATTCACCTGTCGGATAAGGATGATAGATGAATGATAGCAGATCCTCATGGTAAGCCTAGAACTCATTTGTGACATACCTAAAATATCATCAAATGAGTAGTCACTGAGTAGCCACAGAAGTCATTTCTCCGCAGTGGGGATTCTTTCAAGTAGTCACGATCCACAGTTTTTCTTGGGGCTACGGGCCTCTCAACATGTCTCGCAACTGAGCCCTGTGTAAACCACTCATTCACATGAGCAGTGTTAAAAGCCGGTGTTGGTTGATGAATATATGGGGTTATCATGGGTTATCCAACTTATTAGGCATTATCACAATGTATCACAAGCCACTACGGGAAACCCTATACCAGCATACAGGGGTGACAGAGGGTTTGAACACTGCTCACACTTGTTTAATGAATTCCCTTTTGAAGCATTTAAACTCCTGTTCTTTTTGCTTGAATACCATTTTCTTCGTGACACCCCTTGCCAAGCACCAGTAAGCAGTTCCACGACGATCATCCATTCTTGGTCTCCCCTCCGTTTTTAACCGCCAAATGCTCTTTACTGTATAGCTTTGCTCACCCCTAGCACCCTACTATTAGCACACTAACATTTCCAATGGTCATTACTCCCTTTCACACAATGGGCATGTCCCAGAAACCCTTGTATTTGGGAATTCGTTCATTTTGGGCTTTGTTTAGTGCATATTTATTGTGAAGGGGGCTAAGTTATGATTTAGTCCAAGCTTTCGATTGGGAACCAAATTCCAGTCCACATGTAGATGTAATCAAGCGTATGGATAAGAGATTACATAGAAAAGGACATAGCTAAATATAGATAATAAACTATGAATGGCTTATAACTTGTAAACATAGTGCATACATGGATCACCCACTATAAACTTCTATATTTACGGGGATCAAAAAAATCACACACACACACACACACGTGAAACAAAAGGATTATCGAATTTCCTCGAGATTTTCCATGACTTTCCGGTAATGTTCCCTCACCCTCTGTTAAACATGCAAAAAGCCATGGAAAATCACTATCTTTAATAGGTAAATCAACCATACACGGGCCATTTTCCACAGCTATGTTAGATCACCCACTATAAACTTCTATATTTAAGGGGTTAAAAAATGTTAGAAAAAAGAAACATGTGAAACAGAAGGGTTTCCTTGAGATTTTCGATGATTTTCCTGTCATGTTCCCTGAATGACTCCAAGATCTCAGGACTTCTCACCGATGGTCTTCAGCCCCGCACTTCGCCGTCGCCTGCTGCGCGGCATGAGCTGCGCGGCGGGCGGGACAGCGGTGCTGGGGCTGGGACAAGTGGCCAAACTGCGATGGCAATACGAATGCCCAGGCAGGGGAAAACTGTCGGGGTAGCTTTTCCTAAGGTGGAAATTACCAGGATATCTATGGAATTTGTCCCATGGAGATATATTCAGCAAATAGTTATACTATATATATATATATTATGATTATAGAGCTTAAATTGCCATGACACATAATGATATTTCTAAGTATGACCAACTGTATGTCCATTGCCATGCCAGGAAAGTTAGTGTGAACCATATTTATGGTTGCCATTTTATCTATAGTCAGGTAGGTGAGCAGTTTATAAGATCATTGGATTGGTTTAAGGGAAAATTAGCAGGACCCCCCCATATTTCCACCGGAAACCCATGGTTTCCAGTAATTTTTCCTGTAACCCATGGGTTTCCCGGTAGAAAACTTGACATTTCCATGGCCGTCTCCTGGGCAGCCAGGGGAGCCCGTGGGGCAACGGCACGGCAACGCAGGAGCAGCTTTTCAAGGACCCAAGATATGGCCTGTCAGGGTGCCGGAAAAACATCCAACAGGAATTTTATGGTGATTTTAGGTGATTTTAATGGGTTTTAATGGGATTTTAGGTGATTTTAATGGGTTTTAATGGGATTTTAGGTGATTTTAATGGGTTTTAATGGGATTTTAGGTGATTTTAATGAGTTTTAATGGGATTTTAATGGGATTTTATGGTGATTTTAATGGATCTTACCCTCCAGTAAACTAAGACAGCTATGGACAATGCCCATTTATAGACGGTTTACCGATGGTTATCTATTACAACTGTTAATTTACCAGAGGGTAACAACTCCATAGGAGTCCCAGCAAGAGCCAGGATATGCCTTGGCCACGCTTATAACGTTTCTACTTGGCAGGGACTGGACACTATCCTGTGCAGCTTGCACGCCTCGGGGATATTATCCAGTACGAAGGGTGGCTCTTTGCTGTTCATGGACACGTTGTGATGTGCCCAATGCAACACTTGGACCGGGCACATCCTGGTCACAGGTCAGGCCCATCACTTGCAACATGCAGAGGCCATACTGCTGCCACAGTGTTGGGCCGATGTTGCGGAGTTGAGGCAGTGGGAATTAGAGCTTCATGGCTATTTGAGGATTTGCATTCTCCTGTCTTTGCAGCGCGCAACAGTTCCCCGCTCGCACGGCGAGTCCTTCAGTTTTGTACCACCTGAACGACCTGAAGGAGGAGATTTGCCCGAACAATCCAAAGGGAGCATCGACATCACATTGCCGGCTGCCGAGCAGTATCTTATCCACTTTGGCGAGCTTTTCGCCAGTGGACAGAAGATGACCGGCATGCATTAACAAATTGGCATATCATAATTGGGAGAATGGGATATTCATAGGATGAGGTATCATGAGGTATCTGGGTAAGCCTTGGATGAGTATAGCTAATCTTTTGCAGGAGGCAGGTATGCTAAGCTGGGCATCGAAGAGTGGCCATGATTGGATCTTATCCGGGTCAACCACCATGATTTGTGGGTTTTGCTGGATTTTTGAAATGCCTTTTCCATCAATGCATATATAGACCAAACAATACTAGATCCAGATCAAACATAACTTTCTGTGCTGGGTGGCTATGATTAGCAACAACCATTTTTGTATAGCAAGATGATGCTCTCAATAATATATAATCCTTAATTTGCTGCCGTTGATGTTGATGCATTCTTATATTTTCCCCATTTCTTCTTTGGCCAAAGCCACATTCTTTGTCGTATGTGATTTACTAACTTTTCTTTTGTGCGCGCATTCGTTAGTCTCTCCACATTTTGCGTGGTTCCCGTTCTTTGTTGGCTCAACCATATGAATCACCAATAATTGCTCTGCTGGTTTCAAAGAAAACGTGTTTTCTACACACATACATACATACATACATGCATGCATCCATCCATCCATCCATCCATCCATCCATCCATGCATGCATGCATGCATGCATGCATGCATGCATGCATGCATGCCTATATATTGTATATATATATTATATATATATATATACATACACGTATTTAATTGTATTTGCATATAACATATTTTGTCATGTTTCCCCATATGTGAAATCATATGATGTTTCTTCCGTATTTTGCTTGGATTCTAGCCCCTTTGTTTTCTCAACGCTGGCTTCGCTTCAGCAGGAAAGCCTTTGAAGCTTCTCTTCGTTGGAGATTCCATCGCAGCCTCCCGGCGTTGTCGTTCAACGGAGGGGTAACGGACCAAATTGATGAGTCATTTGATGAGAATCTCATGGGAATTCAGCCATACTCTATACGGGAAATTCACTTGGATCTTAATGGGAATTTAACGTAATTTAGCCATCTATGGTAATTTCATTGGATTTGAATGGGAATTTAATGACTATAAATCTGAGATTATAGTCATTTAATTCGTAATTTACGCATCATCAAAACCACCAAACCTTGAGGGATATAATATAATTAATTGATATTAATTGATAAATGATGGACACCTCCTTTTTTTTTTGTTCATAATCCCATCCCCTCCAATATTTACCACCTCCTCAATGGTCCCCTATGGTTTCTGGGCGGTGGCTTTATATGGGGGATGGGAACATGCTAATCCATCATTGATGTTAAATGACCCTTCCCGAAATGTCAATGACCCGAATGATGGGGTCCAAATGGATCCAATTATTGGACCTGGGATGACCTAGGATGGTCTTGAACGTTCGTGAAGGGATTATTTGAATCATGAAAAAAACGCCGTTTTTTTAAACACGGAACTGCCAGAAAAGCAGAATATGTCACAAACATGTTGAGTGAATTCAACAGAAAATGGGGATGGACTGGTAAACTATAGGGATCAAACAAGGAGGGATAGGGATGTACACTCCGACACCGACGATGCAGTCTGGTGCGCCAAAATGGAGAATTGCTGAGAGAAAATTGGAACATACGTATAGAACTCAGTCATTTTAGAACCTCAAGACGTTTGTGTATAGTGAGTTCGTTGCATACCTACTCAGAATTTCGACTTTGGCCAGCGAGGTAACTGGTGCAAAGCAAACATGAAGCCTCATTTTTTTCTGAAGTCTACTTTGTGATCACACACACACACATATATATATATAAGAGCAAATTATTGCAATGACAAGATGGCCGGCCTTGCAAGGATGACTTATCGTTTGTGTATAGTAAGAGGAACACGTCGTTTCCATTTTTAGATTGGTCAAACATTGCCAGTTTTCTGTGGATTTTTGCTTTTTCAGGGGAAATCTCAACTGGAATGTTTCCATCATCCAATATCATCCAATGGTATTGTGGATTTATGATTTTGACCAGCAACTACCGTGGTTTTGCTTCACTTTTCCCATCATCCAATGCTGGGATGTGCCACCAGGTGGGTGTAGGCGCCAAAGTGGCTGCGCCTCTGCAGGCTTGTGCCTGGTTCATCTTAAAAAGTGGGGGGGGTTACCCTCTGCTAAACATACAAAAAGCTATTGAAAATGGCAATTTATAGTGAGTTTTCCCATGAAAAATGCTGATTTTCCATAGCTATGTTAGTTTACCAGAGGGTAAGTCAGCAAAAAACATGGAGATCTTTAACACGGAGAGTCTAAGTCTAAGTGTTTAACTTCAAAAGTCCGAAAGATGACGATTTAACACTAAAGCCACCAAATTACAAAGACATTATAGCTCTTACATTTGATTTTTTTTAGTGATTTGGCACATGGCGAAGTTGCTGGGTAAACCGGTCAATGTTTGATTTTCAAGGCTTATGCTGTAGCCGTAAAAGCGCTGAATCTTGGTGAGCCATCTCCAGACCAGTAAACATTACACAATATTCCCCCTTTTCTTTGATGGCTAAAAACCGCAATTTTTGTTGGCAAAACTCCGCAATTTTTGTGGTTCCATCATCCATTTTCCTTTACTTTGGAAATCCCTCCAAAACACATGAACCTCAGCTTAGTAGTTCACTTTTGTAGTTCAACACCTTTTTTTAGGATTCATTCATCTGTGTAAATTATGGGAATCATCCCCAAATGGCCTTGATTCAGGTTAGTGACATATTTACCCAGATTCATCAGATTCATCAGATTCATCATAAAAAACCACCACCTTCCCACATCTGGGTAAATTCTAACCGATGAATCTGGGTAAATTATCATATTATGATCATAACCTATTTTTTTTTAGCCTTCTATTTATAGGGGAAAGGTAAATCTAGCCCAGATATATTGGGATTAATGATCCCAATTGACTAATATTTTTCAGTGGGGTAGGTCAACTAAAAAACCATTCATCATTCAAAAACCACCATCTTCCCACCATCTCACCTTTTCCCCTACGGTATTTTTGGTGGATATCCCCGGCGCCAGGCCGCCTGCGCGTGTCGCTTGGCCTCGCTGCAGCGGCGGCCCGTGGAGTGGCGCACCATCGCGGCCAACGGCGCGGACGTGCGCGAGCTCAACGAGCTCCTGGAGCCAGGCGCGGTCACCGGTGGTTGACCCCCAAAAAAGGTCCCCAAGTAGGGGATATGATGGGTATGGGATGGGTATGGGTTTATTGAATTTTGATTTATCTGGGGTTGTCATGGTGATGATGTAAGAAACAAACATGGTTGAAAGCAGCAATGGGAACCGTATGGGGGCATATGGGGCTGTAGTTGGGGTTGGGATTTATGTATCCCATCAGATTGACACAATACCTACAATATGGGACTGAAAGAGTGCTATTAACCCTCACAAATTTGCATTATCATGGGATTATGAGACAACATGTTTTTTAGATGTAAAGGGGATGTAAAGGGGATTAATCTTCGTTAGTGAACATTTTTAGGCGGGGGAAGGCATTAAGAAGCGGGTTTGATAGGGTTTAATTAATTAAGTAACGCGAACTTGGGATTTAATTTTTCAAAGATATTTAATTACAGCGCATTTCACCAGGTTTTCTGTAGTTTTTGGAGGGGGAATCTGGGAAAACGTATTACTGTAATTAAGCAAGAAACACCGTTTGTGAGAATTTTGACGGATGGAAATTGAAGCGGCAACAAGAATAGCAGCAGCAGCAGCAGCAGCAACTGGTGGTGTTCACCAAGAAAATACGATTCACATCAAACATGGAGATTTCACCTACAAATCTGAGTCATGTCAGGAAGCAATGGCGACTCCCAGGCGAGTGTCCACGGGTTTGGGAGGACCAAGTTGGCGTAGAAATCGAACATGGCTAGAAAATGTGTGAACATCTCGAGATTTTTGAACTTCCCGAGGTTTTCGAATTCTCAGTTCTTCTTTTAACAAATAGATGCAGTAGGAACTTCAACTGATGGGGTCATTCTATGGTGAAACTTGAGGCTTTGCCGCGAAGTTGATCGGGTCGTCGAGACCAGTTTCCAAAAATGGGACGGATTGAAAAAGACGCGACATACTCAAAAGCAACATGAGCAACATTCGAAGAAAAAATGTCTAGACCTGCTGCCAAAAGGTATCTAAACTTGTTGCGTGATGGAACATTAACCTAAGGTATCTTTCACTCTTTTAGGGGAAATTCCGCCATTTTTCCAGAAATTTCCAGATATCGCACCCCCCAAAAGACCAGAACAGTCAATTTTCACTATGGTCTAGTGTGACGACTATCCGCCCAAGATGCAGACAAGTAGAATCCCTAAATTTATCGGCCATGTTTTATCCAGTCGGAAAGGAAAACCAAGCATATTACCCTCTGGTTATTTAACATAGCCATGGAAAATCACCATTTTTAATAGGTAAACCATCTATAAATGGGTCATTTTCCATGGCTATGTTAAATTACCAGAGGGTACCTGTTATATACCCCAATGTGTTCCAGGAAAAATACACATTCTACTTCCATCAGATCCCAACTTCATTGAATCACCATTTTCCTTGGTTCAATCTCGTTAATTACATCCCACAACAACAGTTTAAACTAGTTTAAATTCATGGGTGAAATCATGTTAAATCACCATTGAAAAAAACTGGTTATATCCTATATTGTCTCATGTTATCCCATATTCTTCTCATATTGAGACCTTCGTTTTGACATATTTTAACCATGGCACCGACATTAGGTGGTTGACTTGGGCTTTGACATTGCTGTGGTGCTCTGCGGTGTCAACGATGGTAAGAAGTTTTGGCAAGGCGGCCGCTGTCGCTGCAGCCCGCGGGGGTATTATATATACATTAATAGTACCCAAAAAGATGTGGAACTTATTGGAAAGTACGCTATCACTGTTCTAGTAGGATTTTCTATGTTTTTTGGAGCTATTCTAGGTGTGTTTGTTTGAACACGGTGGATTTATCCCCTCAATGTACAGCAATTTTGATGGGGGAAATCCAGGGAACTTGTGATTTACACCCTTGCCATGGGATTTATCCTCCTTGTTTAGATGAAAGGCAAGGACATCACTGGCTGACCTCAATTCAGACTCTAGACATGCTGGTTCATATGTTTACATATGGGTGTAGTATGGTAAGTATCCCAAACTCGCCGAACTTTTCTCTCGGTGGTGAATTAGCCATTATAGTCCAGCCAGATGACTGAGATTGCCCTTTAGCTCTGGCTCATCGCACTTGTCAAAGATGCACCCCGCAGTGGTAGACTGGGGGTCTCCTGAAGGGATGGGATATAGTCTTGAGCTCTAGTGGGTGCCACATTTGGGTGTCCCCAGAAATGATAGATGTATTTTGATGTGCACTCCTTGATGGCCATTATCCTTTTTGGTTTTGCAAATCACGTTTTCAGGCTTTATGGTGACTTTCTGGGTGTACGTCGCCAAAATTGATCCAAACGGATACACCATGATACACCCATTTCAACGGCCTCAAGCAGAGTTTGCGATGGGACCACCTCATGATGTTGATGGAACCTTTTTGTCAAAGACACATTTTTTGGCTAGCACCCCCTGGTGAAAAATTGCCATTTCCCTTAAGGAAAACTACCTTCCAGTGAAAGGTCGAGTATTCAATGTGCCTTTCCGCATGGGATGGCGGATGGGCAGCCCAATTCCATTTCAGAACTGACACGATAAGTCCTGGAGCTGGCGATTCCAGCACTTGATGACTTGCGGCAATCTAGAACCGCGAAATCGAACATTTGCCTGCAACGTTTGTTTGCAGCTTGCCACCATCTCGCTTTGTTCTCCAGCTTTTACCCCTTTTCAAACCTTAGTTGGGACTAAGCGTCCATTCTTCCCCCAACATAACCGGGATACCCTCTGATAAACTAAAGAACATTAAAGAACTATTGAAAGTCACCACTTTTAATAGGTAAATCAACTATAACTGGGCCATTTCCCATAGCTATGTTGAATTACCAGAGGGTAAGTTTCCCCCAAAAAAGCATCACTAAGATCAGCCCCGGACTGGACATCTTCTCCAGGCAGATGGCCTTCACACTTCAGGGAGGAGCCATGGAAGGGTAGAAGGGTGGCTGGAAATGGAGGCGAAATGGGCTGCCACATCGTGTCGTAAATCCATCCATGGAAAAATGTCCTCTATAAGTGGGTTATAGTGGATTACCCTCTGGTAATTTAACATAGCTATTGAAAATGGCCATTTATATTGGATTTTCCCATTAAAAATGGTGATTTTCCATAGCTATGTTAGTTTACCAGAGGGTATATAGTGGAGTATCTCACTTGTAACTGGGCTAGAACCCCACTTGGAGGATCATCTACGCCTACTTAGGAAGTCCCCACTGCAATTCATGTGGGTACAGCAATTTCATAAATCATCCCCCAGTCATCACCATTTTTATAGGGGGTATGGTTACCATTCCCAGTCATGGGTGGTTTATGGCATTGTTTTACCCACAGCCAGGACCTGGCCGCCCTCTGCAACAAGCTGCGAAGGGCGGCGCCCGATGGTGTGATCACGGTGCCCAATCTTTTAGGTGCGACGCGTGGCGCGAAGATCGCGGGGCGGTTAGGGCGTCCGGCCATGAAAATTGGTGCTTTGTCCGTTTTGTTAGTGGGTTTCGAATGGGGAAACGAATGGCATCAGATGATATCAGATGTAGTTCATCGATATTTATCTGTAAATCCATCAAAATCAGTAAACTAATGAAAGCCACGGAACTAAATGGAGGTTTATAGCTGCGAAATCAACGAATTAAAGGGGGAATGGTCCATTGCCATGTTGTGCCGTGTTTGCCAGATAATTCTGATGAGTATCAACCCCCACAGTTTTTTTTTGCATAACACGAATTGCGCAAGCTCCAGATTGTCGCCTTGATGTTCGTTGGACATTCAAGTTCCATCCCTTGAACATGAGGGGTTTGAAAGCGATGGTGGGGTCGCAGTAGATGTTTTTTTTTTAAATATTGGTAATCACCTGAGCAAACTTGAACTCCATAAAATCACACCTTGAATAGACAATAGCTTGAAATTCATATTGCAATGTGGGAAGATGAAGCTTTCAACGGATGGACTGGGGTTGCCTCCTTTTCAGCCAAACCCACCTGATTGGCGTGAGACCCGTTCTTTCTGCTTACATTATCCTTCATTCCGCCTTTTTATTGGACATCATGTCTGAAATGTTCGCTTTCCACATCACTTTTTTGGTGCGTCTGAACATGGGGTATACATGGGTATACCGCTCAAATGGCCATTTCAAGAAGATGATGATTAATGATCATTAAATCTATTAGTGGTTAATGATGATTAATGATTAACCCATATTAAACCCAATCAATCTATTTTTGTGGTTTTCCGTGGTTTTCCCCTTGTAACTTCCCGGCGAAATGGGGCGCATGCCCCAGGGCCCTGACCCCTTGTAACTTCCCGGTGCAGGCCACGTTGAGGCGCCTCTATTCCAGCTATGGCCGATGTGTCATTTGGTCGACGTTCCTTGGCATCATTGGGCCTATTAACAGTCGGCATTATTCTGGGTAAATTCATAGTTAGTAAGGGGAATCATCCCAAAATGGCCTGGATTCAGGGTAGTGAATTATTATTATTATTTACCCAGATTATTTGGGTCTTCCCCCTTTTCACACCCAAATACCATCAAATACCCTGAGTCAGGCACCAAATATGCCAGAGTATACTAGAACAATTACTGTATATGGTTTCCAATGGTCTAGCTTTGGCCATGGCTGAGTCCAGTGTTTGGCCATTTTTCTGGTTGGGGCGGTCAGGAAACCGTAATTTTTTGGCCATGGTTTCCTCTGAACAAATCCAGCAGAAACTGTTGAAATAAAGGTCTCCGGATCTTCCCTCAATCTCTCTATACCATCTGACAGTTCAATATGGCTATGGATCAATACCTATACATACCATTTTTAGGGGGATGAACATCCATTTACCAGCTATTTTGAGGTTCACCAGGGGTACAAGGTTTTGACCCATCCCCATATAGCTATGCAAAATCACCACATTTGAATTCGGTATACCATGGTTCCCCATTTGGGGCTATGACCTGACTCCCCGCTTAAACTGTTTTTTTCACTTCCAAAAGATTCTGTAATCCTCCATCCTCCATTGATTTCAAGTGTGTTCCATAAAATGCTTGGTCACATTCCCATGGAAACTCTATATGATTCATATCTCATAAGAAGATATTTCAGAAGGTGCTAAATCTCATTGTTAATAGGTAAGACGTTCCCTAAATGGGCCGTTCAATGGATTTGTGTAAGGGAAAAAATGCAGCAAACTCACCCATATTTCATGGGAAAATCGAGGGTTTCCGGTTCAGATTTTCCCTTAAGCCAATCCATTGAGCCATTGCGCTGGGACGTCATGGGAAACTGAGGTCCTTTTTGACCAGTTTGAATCCCAAAAAATGGCACTCGCTGAGTTGGGCGCTGTCAGGCGCGCTGGGGAAGGCTGAGCTGCTTGGACCAAGGGGTCATGCAGGAGGTTGATCTCAAAGGGAGGTGTTTACAGCCTGGCCAATTGGGATTCAAGTATATGAATGTTTTCGAAGCAAAAACTGTGGCAAAAAAAGAGAAGATATGGAAAGTTCACCAAGAGAAAAGGGCAGCTACCATGGGCGCTCCCTGTCGGAAACTAACATAGTCACAGGAAAAGGATATGTTCAACACTGAAAAGCGAAATACCTTTAGATGCAAGTGACAAGACCAAAATAAATGTGAAGAGGTGTAAGACAACTTCATTGGGATGATGAAAATCCTCTGTGCGGGAAGGAAAAGATAATTCTCCAGGGGAAGAGGGTAGGACGCGTAGGATCACACCCTGGAGGCTTTCCGTTTGATTTCCCATTCTGGAGCTATATAGAGCTACGGTATGTGCTTTCAGATTTATAGTGCCCCAATACATCCCCATTGTATTCCCATACCAACATTGTTACACACACACACACATTCACACTACACACACATATATATATATATATAATATATATATATATAATATAATATAGTATATATATATATATGTGTGTGTGTAAAAGATATCCCTTTCATTTGCATCATTGAGGGGATATTCCCATGTTCTTCCATCGTCTTTTTCCAGTTCCAGCACCGTCAGGTGCTGGTTGCTGGAGCCGGGTGCTCGGAAGGTGCTGAGTACCGACCAGAAGCTCTGGTCCGTAGACGGCGCCTGGGGCAGCAAGCGGCTGGGGAATGGCAGCTTTCATATATATATATATTTGTGTGTTTGTTTTCTTATATATATATATTGTATATGTATGCATAGTTTAATAATGTCTAGTCCCCTATACTTCACGCATCTTAATGCACAAAAACATGTGGGAACATATGGTAAGACAATGGAATATCCTGCTTGTTAACTGCCTATCTTATGGTTGGCTAATGATGGTTGGTTGGCCAATGATGGTGGATGACTAGGGATTAAAACCCGGGAGAACTTGGGATTTAAGTGACAATTGTCGGCAAATTCCCACACAGTGTTTTAGAACAAGCCCAAGGATGATGGTCGGTTCATAGTGATTCCCAAATTCTGGGCAGGGATCCGAAATATATGATGTAATGCTGGGCCATCTGCTGCAACCATCGGGTTTTGAAACTCTTCAAGTCGGATAGGAACGTTGAAAGGGGTTGGAATGATTATGATGGCCTATGACAGGGTTGGAATGATCATTCTGATGGCCTACAGTTTTTGACTTCGAAATGTGGATGAAATGCAAAGCTCACTTAGGATTCGAGTTTTCAAGGGGTGATAGAACCCGCACGAGTTAGGAATTGGTTTAGTAAACTCATAGGAAACACCCCGTTCCTGGGCGTTCTCCATTGAGAGACGTACGGAAACCAAACCATGTCAAACTATATTTATTATATAAGCGCTATAATATGGGACGATCCTGATGATCTCTCAATGATTGGCGGTGAGATATCTGGAATGATGTCTGCAGTATTGCGATGGAAGAGTTTGACCATTTGCATCCAAAAGTTGCTCCGGACTGCATATGGATGCCGCGTTGGATGTTGTAACCAACAAGGCGCACCAAAAACATAGGGTGTGTTGTCAGTTTGTTTGATTCAATTGATAGCTTCTGTGACGTTCATCTGGATTCATTTGGACATTTTTGAGACCCGTTGGAAGTTTGGGTTTTCTGCGTGTGTTCGGAGCAACCACGCCCAGCAGATGGCCAGGCGGCCGAAATGGTGAAATGTTGACTGGTTAAAACGCCCTTATCAGCAGTTGCTTTGTTTTTAATAAGCCTTTAGTGAAACCCAAGAATTGTTGGGTCACTGGTGGGTTGACTGCCCATGAACCTGTGGAAGGGTACCCATAGATTGCTCAACTCGCCCTTGTCGGTGATGCTTGACAAGCCGCCCGTAAAGCCCTATTATACGATTGATCCAATGGCGAGAGGGAAAACAAAAGTCCAGTTAATGACTGTAGTAGCTGCATTTTAGTCAGCCATTCCTGTTTTCGTTGACTGGTGTCCATGGTTGATGACTCCCAATAACTGATCTTTTCAGTTGGGGGTTGTCTCCAAATTAGAAGCACCCCAAACCCAATGATTTATCATCGTTTGTTCCTCTAACATTGCCATATTTAAACCATTCCATCTTGGAATACAAACTCAAAAGTAGTTTACCTATGTTTACCTGATATATCCAACCATCTGGTCATCATATACCTGATATATCCTGATATATACCTGATATCAATGGCCATTTCAGGAACCTAAATTGGAGGTACCTACCATATATAAGGCCTATTTGTTAGGCCTATGTAATGGAATACCCCCACAAAATATGGTCTTATATGGTACAGTACCTCCATTTTAGGATCCTGAAATTCCCATTGATGATACCCTCTGGTGAACTAACATAGCAATGGAAAATCACAATTCTTAATGGGAAAATCCACTATAAATAGCCATTTTCCATTGCTATGTTAGTTCACCAGAGGGTATGGTTATCATTCTCCATCTGTTTTGTGTCCCAGTTTTTGGCTTCACGGCCGGCGACCGAAATCCGAGGTATTCATCCATCGACTGAGGGCTACCATCGGATCGGTGAATGGTTGCTGGGCCGATGGCAAAACACATGTCATGATACCATGTGATATAGAACTCTTGATCTATATTGATCTATATTCTTTATATACATAACTACATAACACACACACATACATATATATATATATATATATCTGGGTAAATTATAACGACCTCACTACGACCTCACTGGAAATCATGGTTAGTAAGGGGAATCATCCCCAAATGGCCTTAATTCAGATTAGTGAATTATTATAATTTGCCCAGATATATATATATATATGTGTGTGTGTACACATATATGTGTGTACATATGTGCATATAGATATACGTATGTTTATGCACCCATGTCGGCAAATACGTGCATACATAGTAATAGATAAATACATGCATAAATATATTTCGATGAATATCGGGCCGAGATGGGCCTGCTCAATGACTTGACCTGCCAGTGGCATCCGAGGCTGGCCACCCACCTGGCTCAAATGCGGCCGGTGCCAGCCATTGAGTGAAGGTGGGGGGTGGGTGATAAATTCCTGGACTTCTCGGAGTGAGTTCAGCGGGGTGGATGGATTGGGGCTTTGCAAAACAACTTGGGGGCTGAGGAAAGTAATACCCTCTGGTAAATTAACAGTTGGACCCTGAAAATCACCCATTTTTAGTGGAAACTAATCTTCCAACCCCGACAACTGCCAGGGTCGAACTGTTAATTTACTGGAGGGTAATACAAATCAAACATATGATATGGGATTGAAGCAACACGACTATACAAAAAATTGGTGTAACCATCGTAATTTGATGTAAGTTGTATAAATTATTGCGGCCTGAGACTGCCAATAATTGAAGTTGAGGAAGAATCCGAAAAAAACGGAAGGATGCCCGCAGTAGACAGCATGACCAGAGCACAATTTGTGGTAAGGATTCTGGTGAACATTAGCTTCCAACGGGTAATTTCGTGGCAAGTTGAATGAAGAAATGAAACTACATTTTCACCTTTGCAGCTTTGTCTGACGATTTGGCACCGCAGAATGCCATGGTAAAAATATGTAAAAAGCATCTCTCAGTGTCTCATTGTGTGGACTTGCAATTCTTGGGCATCCATTTTTGGATATTTTTGGACAAACTGCTCGACATGTTTCCATTTCTGAATCTTTCTGATATCCCCATGGGCTTTGTTTTAGTCCCACTGAAGACTACTGAAGGTTGTCCTGTTTCTTACAGACAGCAGGACACATCAACCCAATGCCTAACCATAGATTCAGCCGCTGTCAGGCCTGCAAGTTTTAAGAACTTGCACGGTTAGCGCTGGCGGCGCTGTCAAGTGTAAAGAGACGGGCGCAGAATGCTAAAAACAGCCAATCAGGGCAATGATATCCGCAGTGCCGGGACAACTGGCATTTCAAACAGTTTTTAATCACCAAAGTCAATACTTTCGGACTTTGGACTTTGTAGATGTAATTCTTTGAGGGCAAAGGTGCTTAGCTGCCCTGAATTCTGTCATGATCTGTGATGACAACTCCCAAAAAGGTCTTCTGGACAGGCCGATGCGGAGACCAAAAATCTTTGGTCTGAGAAGGATGCTTTTTGTGCCCAGAATCTTTTGGAAATCCCAAAGTCTTGAATCACTGCAAATGCTTGTGATACCTGGAGGGTTTGGGAAACAATGCCGAGATTGGCGCACAAGGTTGCGCCTGATATAGCGGCTTAGCGTGGGCGGGAAAGGTTAGACACGAACACCGTGGTTCTTGTCACTGCACACGGCGGAGTCCCAAGCTCTTCTACATCTTAACTGCAGAACTGGCGATTTCCGACCTGGTTTGGATATGTTTGGAACATATTTGGAACTCAAACTGAAACAGAACAAGTTGAATTACTCACTCCTGACTGAAGTAGATCTGCTTGGTTCTTCACCCCCACTTCGTAGCTAGAGTCTAGAGGTTATCTCAACCTCGGTTTGATAAGTTATCTAGCTACAGATATCTCAGAGTCTCAGGATATCTCAGGTACAACCCTGGATGAATGTAAACCTAACAGTTAAGGACTGGGGTTTCGCCCCAGTGATGATTTACTACCAAACTCAAATGGGACAGAGCCAGAGCTGCATCGGAATCCACCGTGCGGTGTGATAATGCCATGTTTTTCCATCGGCTGCACAGGGATGTGAGAAATTTATAGAAATTTTAGGTCACCCGATGTTTGCAACTTCCAAGAGATAAAGGCCGACTATTCCAGGACTGGATGCGTCGGCAAGGTTTTTGATGTGCAGAGCGCATAGCAACCCCAGGGTTTCAGGATGGTTACAGTATACATCCATGCGATATACACCAGCATATGTATGTATACATATATATATATAGTAATCAATCAATGCCAAGATTTGGTTTGTCCAAGTTTCCAACTATCACATCTTTTATTCCTGAAGCAATCACATATTTGAGTCCTCCATTGACATTGCTGTGCAGCGGCTTGTGTGCAGAGGTGGGCTTTGTGCGTGGGCAGGCCAGGTCGAAATAGGTCGAAAGGTCCGTGAATGCCAGGGTGTAAGCCACAGAAATAGCGATTCAACCTGCAAACGTCGTTTTTTCGGTGGTAAAACTACTTACTGGTGAGCGGTAGGGTTTTCATGGCTTATATGATATAGAGAATGGTTTTACTGCTAATATTTGCTAATGATTTACGTTGGCTGGGTAGTACCGTTTGCTATGAAAAGAGTTTAATCATCTTGATCCCATATATATATATAGTCGGAATACATCTCTTGGTACCTCCTTCAAATTGTCATATTCACAGCTGAATACCCCCCTACAGACACAAGCGCTTGCATACGGATCGTTTGGTATGACCTCTACAGATGAGGCAAAGCCAAAGCGAATAGGCCGCGTTTGGCCATTGATTTGCCATCAAGTGGAGCCCCTTGGTATGATCGTGGGGGATTGTACTGCAGCTTTCAGATGTTGTAAGGGGTTCCAATCCAACTACTCTGGTAATCAAACATGGCAATGGAACATCTCCCAGTCATAGATGATGTTCCCGTTTAAACCTCTACTAACAGGGGATTTTCCCATTGCCTCTACTAACCATGGGTCCACTCATTCCGTTGGATCTCTGCCATTTCGTGGCTGGCTGTTGGAAAAGTGCCCGGACAAAGCTCAAAGATTTGAAGCTGAGAATAGCGATGATCGTGTCGGATGGGAGTGCCCACAGCATCGTGCTGCCACAGAAAGCGCCTCAAGTTTTTTCATGGCCTTTCAGCCTCCAACTGAGCCTCAAACGCTTTGAGACCTTGATCAATGATCCCTGCAATGTGGTGCCCCGCAGGTAGAAGTTGGTTTACAACCTCAATTCACTATTTGTTTTTGGTATATATATATATATCCATTATATCCTATCTACTATATACCCTAGTTGGCCTAGTTGCAATCCACATTAGCGAACTATGGGGCACCACAGTGTAAGTTTTTTTTTTTTGGGGGGTTCCACTTCGAAGAAAGTTACTGCTTTGGCAGGGGTAAACCGGTTGAACATGATTCAGCCAAGCCCCGGAGGGGATCGTCATGCGGGCTGATTGGAAACGGGGCAAATTTCCATCCATTTAACCAGGCCATTTTTAATAGATGAAACCGTCTTCTAAGGCCTCATAAAACAGGTACATCACATCTGGGTAAATTATAACGACCTCACTGCGACCTCACTGGAATCATGGTTAATTATTAAGGGAAATCATCCCAAAATGGCCTTAATTCAGGTTAGTGAAATATTATAATTTACCCAGATCACATGGCCACCGAGTTTTTCAGCGGAATTCCCATCACGTCGACACGAAAAGCATTTGAATAACCCCATTGATTTTCCAGCTTCCGCGCAGGGGGCACAGCGGTTCCACCAAAAAGTGCCTCTCGCGTGTCGTCGGAACCCATTTTTGTGAAGTGAACCCAGGTGGCGCGGGCTGCGATGTTTCTTTTGCTGCCAGGGTCATCCAGGGTCCCAGTAGAAGTAATGATAGTAATGTGGTAAATCCATGTAAATCTAACAATCACCAATCATAGGTATACCGTATGCTAGATTGTTAGATTTACCACATATCATATGGTCATTCAACAATCCCCAATTTCGGTTTATTGGGTATACCGGTATGCTCCTGATTGAAAGTTTTTTCGGATGATGTAGAATGACCTAAAAAATATCCTACAGATTGGTTTCTTATGGATCTGGTTACTGTTACATTTTATTCTTGGTTTTGCCACATTACTTACCTTGATCATTTTTCAAATCAAGTTGAGAGATTATCCAGCAGATGTAGGAACTGATTGCTATCACAATGGCTATAAATTGCCCAACTAACTCAATTCTGAAGCTGTAGATATCTATAGATATCTTATGAACATCTAAATCCACATCTCGATTTTGCTGGATTTTGAAATTGCGTGGTTGCAAGGGAGTCACCACAGGTTCACGGATGGGTTCGTGGCTTAAATTTTCGACTGAAGAAAACACACATCGTCACCATGTACAGTGGCTGGGCCGGTTTTGACCGTGCGCCCTGCAGCATTCCTTGGAGCAAGGAGCAGAAGGGGCCGAGTGGAAATAGGGGGGACATTTCCTGGAATTCAATGGAGTAGTTTCAGGGAAAACCTACAGGAAACCAGATTTTTTTTCCCATTAGATATGGGTCTTTCCTGTAAATTTTGCCTTACACATCCTTAAACCAATCCATTGAGGAATTGCTTGGTGGGAAAAATATGGAAAAATCAATTGAACGCCAAGATTTGGAATCTACTTGTAGGTGGTGAAGTATGGCAAAGCACATCAAATTTTCTGCAAACTACGGTATCTCTTCAAACCGACACCATGAACAGAAACAAATCGGGCATGTTCCGCACCCACCATGATGTTGGATGTGTTCCAACCTCGAGGGATCTTCGATGCATCAGACACAGAGCTGTTTGATGCGTCGTCGCGGACGCCGGGTCGTTGGAGATCTTGGGAGCCCCACGAAGAGTTGGGGAAGGGGTCAATAGCAATAGCCCGTGACCACAGAATTCTTAGGGTAGCGATGGAATTTACATAAAGTAAAGCGATGTTTTCTTTGAACTCTTGGTGCTTCAACTGTTGGAGCTTCAACTTTCCGATTGAACAAAGCTTTCAGTATCCCCTAATAGGTTGTTCATCATTCTTTCCCAAAATTGATGAGTTACTTGAGTGGTCAGGTGCTCTTGATTGTGATTTCAATTTATGTATATACGAATCCGGCATCCCCTCCGGGTTTTAGACCCATGGTTCCAGATTCTTCAGTCATGAGCTGATCTTGGCCATCAATCTTGGAAAGATTTGACCCATCGAAGTGGGGATTTTTACCATGATTTAGCCATGAAACCGGGGAGTTGATGAATGAAGCATGGTGATTTTGGACCAGATCATGATGATTTCCATATCTTCACAGCTGTATATATAGATGCCATCTGCCCGGCCTTCGTTTTCAGATACGACCCGGAAAAAAAAAATTGCCGGCCCCGAAGGGGGACCAGTTTCGCGTCTGGCCAAAGGTTGCAGATGGGATATTTCACCAACTTCTGGAAAACTCACGGTGACTACCTGGGGAAATCTTGGATTTCATGGGATCCTTTTCTAGGATTTATTGGGATTCAAATCTGGATACCTTGGAGAAAAAAAAACGCACCAATTTTAGTTCCATGATTTTACCATTGAAACCTCCATGTATACCCTCTGGTAAACTAACATAGCTATGGAAAATCACCATTTTTAATGGGAAAATCCACTATTAATGGCCATTTTCAATAGCTACGTTAAATTACCAGAGGGTAGTGGATTTCGCAGCCAGCCATGTTTGATTGCCAGATTATGGACCAACAAAAGTGTGGGAGGAGATGTATCTAGGATTGGCCGTGGTAAGGGAACCATCGATGAAATGATTTCGCTTCAGGTTGTTAAAATTCTACAAGGAATCTAACCCAATCGTAGAGTGTAGACAAGTTATCCCAAGGAACGGGTCTTGTACATGTCCGGAGTAGGTGTACTTGAAGCTTCTTCTGGTGGGTCTTGATTGGTACTTCCCCCTCAAATAGCCCCAAGCAAACCCTAGTAATTATTGGTTCATATTGGATCTGTTAATGACTTGGCGTCCTTTGAAAAGGTGGTATTTCAGAAATGATTGGGGGATGGGATGGGATTAGTGTGCCAATTCTTGGACTGTCATGACCGAAAGAGAAAAAAGGGGGTAGATGTCAGCCACAAACTTGGCATGAAATATGTGTAATATGTGCGAATCATTGTGAATATATGCTCAAATTTTGCCACACGTAGGGACCTAGATGAATCAACCGAAGAATAACTTGCTGCTTTCAGATGTCTTCAGACGTTTTTATGCTTGGCATTTTCTCTCGCAGGAACGGGATGACGGCTGGTGACATATTAATGTTTTTCTGTAATGTTTTCTGAACATTTTCGGTTGCGGAGGTTGCTCAACCACCAAGCAGTTACCTTTGGCCAGATTTTTGAGGTACAGTCCAGTGTGATGAAACCCGCGGCATTCGCTGACTGTGGCAAATCGATTAGTGGAGCTTGGAGTGGAAACAAAAACACACGGCATCCTCCATTGTTTCAAGCACTTTGTATGGAAGTCACCAAATCCAATTCCCATGAAATACTACCAGAACCCCAGGTTAATTGGTGGTATTGGAATATATATAATTACACACACACACATATATATATATATATATGTGCGTGTACTGTATTGGATCACTTAGGGGCCCA